ATCGTTGAGGTGCTGCGGACTATATGGTTTTTTTAACCCATAGAGATTGAATAGATCATTTTGTTTGCAAGGTAGTGGAGCGACCCCAATTCTGATAGAATCAAGATAGTAACCGACAAAGCCGTGAGACAACTGACAAATTTCACTAAGCATCTCACCTACCCCACAATTGAATAAGTCAATGCTAAATTCTAGAACGTTATTAGATCTATGTTCGTCAGTACTAATATTGGCCCAAAGATAAGTGTCGATGCTGAAACTTTGAAAATTATCTTTAAGTTTAACATTTCTACAGACGAAACTTGAATAAACGGATTAATCATTTTACTGCCACCATCATCTCCATCTCCATCTCCATCATTTCCACTTCCTTCATCAATTTCATTTCCTTCATTTCCGCTTCCTTTATCATTTTCACTTCCTTTATCATTTTCACTTCCTTTATCATTTCCGCTTCCTTCATCATTTCCGCTTCCTTCATTATTTTCACTTCCTTTATTATTTTCATTTCCTTTATCATTTCCACTTTTTTCTCCATTTTCATTTCTGCCACCTTCATCGTCTTTATTTCCATTTCCACAATTGTTGCCGCCACTGTTTTTATTTTCTTGTTCATTGTGACTTTTATTATTATTTGAAGAGGACATATCACTTGTACGACTATTGCTATTTAAATGTTTATCTAAAATTTTATCTTGATTGCCAACATTGCTATTTACATGGATTATGATTTCAAATTCATGATCAAACAAAGCTGATAGCTGTTTTATTATTGATTTACTGATAGGCTCGATAGTCCAGCAGGCAATGCATGGCACAGAGTAGCCTTTCTGAAAATCAGGTCCCACGGCATATACATGCTGTTTGTCCAGTAAATTGTAAATGGCGGTCTTCTGTTTGTTCAGCAGTGAAAGCAGTCGTTCGATATTATCGCACGCAGTGGATGTTATTCCTTGAGATACTGCTACACGCACTGACATAAAATTAGAATCAGAGGTTATCGTCAGATAGTCTGCACAATTTTTATATCCTGAATTACTCTTACTTTTTATGGTAATACAAGGTTCTAATAACTCAATGCAATTAAGAATGTCAAAAATATTGTCATAAATTAAATTATGTTTCTCTTCTGACTTGGATTTGGCCAAAAAATTGGCTGAATTAGTTAATAAACTTATATCTTTATTGTTATAAACGACGTTATGTTTCTTTTCTGATTTGGATTTGGCCGAAAAATTGGCTGGATCAGTTAATAATCTTATATCGGATTTGGCCGAAAAATTGGTTGGATCAGTTAATAATCTTATATCTTTATTATATGAAAGTTGGAACACTTCGTAATCTTCTATTAGAAATTCGCCTGCTATTTTGATTTCTTTTTCGTAATTTGCTTTAGAACATCCCCAAACCTTTTCATCTTTGCTAGACATATATAGATCAAAATAGCCAAAAGATGGTCTAAAGTCTTCCATACAGCAAATTGCAACGTCTTCATTTTTAACTCTACTAAGTTTAGAACTGGATTTTTCATTTATTTTTAAAGAAAAAATAAAACTAGCATCAGTTTTTTTATATTTTCTCCCTCTAATTCTTTCCCAGTTTAAGGGATTATATCCTCCAAGAATCTCTCCTGTCTTTTCGACTTTCAAGACTATCACTGTGTTATCTTTGTCCTTACATTTGTTGTA